AAAAATAGGTATGCGTGTATGTATGTACGTATGATATGTATTTATAATTGATGAAAGAATTTAGACATTTATGTCAATAGCAGTAATAATAACAATTTTGATAACTTCGATGACGATGATGATGAGGACAACGTTACTATTGCTAATAATGAGGTTAACAGTAATAATTATGTATATTTTGTTTGATAAAATAACATCAATGACAATTGTCAAATGTTTATTGAAGTGTAATGACAGAGTCTTACTGATTGGATTTTGGGAGTATTTTACAAATCATTACTTTATCTATTGTTTAGAAATTGTCATGCTTCATATAATGTTGTCATTATAATAGGACTATGGGTTTTTAAATGGTTTTGAAGGATGAGTTCGTAATTGTAATAAAACTATTATTAGAATGGAATCTGTTATTTGGTACTAAATAAGTAATTAAGCATGAAATTGCATGAACTGAACTAGAACTGAACTAGAACTGAACTAGTACTGAACTAGAACTGAACTAGAACTGAACTAGAACTGAACTAGAACTGAACTAGAACTGAACTAGAAACTGAACTAGAACTGAACTAGAACTGAACTGAACTGAACTAGAACTGAACTAGAACTGAACTAGAACTGAACTAGAACTGAACTAGAACTGAACTAGAACTGAACTAGAATGCTGAAAACTAGAACTGAACTAGAACTGAACTGGAACTGAACTAGAACTGAACTAGAACTGAACTAGAACTGAACTAGAACTGAACTAGAACTGAACTAGAACTGAACTAGAACTGAACTAAACTGAACTAGAACTGAACTAGAACTGAACTAGAACTGAACTAGAACTGAACTAGAACTGAACTAGAACTGAACTAGAACTGAGCTAGAACTGAACTAGAACTGAACTAGAACTGAACTAGAACTGAACTAGAACTGAACTAGAACTGAACTAGAACTGAACTAGAACTGAACTAGAACTGTACTAGAACTGAACTGGAACTGAACTAGAACTGAACTAGAACTGAACTAGAACTGAACTAGAACTGAACTAGAACTGAACTAGAACTGAACTAGAACTGAACTAGAACTGAACTAGAACTGAACTAGAACTGAACTAGAACTAGAACTGAACTAGAACTGAACTAGAACTGAACTAGAACTAAACTAGAACTGAACTAGAACTAAAACTAGAACTGAACTAGAACTGAACTAGAACTGAACTAGAACTGAACTAGAACTGAACTAGAACTGAACTAGAAACTGAACTAGAACTGAACTAGAACTGAACTGAACTGAACTAGAACTGAACTAGAACTGAACTGAACTGAAGAACTGAACTGAAAGAACTGAACTGAAAGAACTGAACTAGAACTGAACTAGAACTGAACTAGAACTGAACTAGAACTGAACTAGAACTGAACTAGAACTGAACTAGAACTGAACTAGAACTGAACTAGAACTGAACTAGAACTGAACTAGAACTGAACTAGAACTGAACTAGAACTGAACTAGAACTGAACTAGAACTGAACTAGAAACTGAACTAGAACTGAACTAGAACTGAACTAGAACTGAACTAGAACTGAACTAGAACTGAACTAGAACTGAACTAGAACTGAACTAGAACTGAACTAGAACTGAACTAGAACTGAACTAGAACTGAACTAGAACTGAACTAGAACTGAACTAGAACTGAACTAGAACTGAACTAGAACTGAACTAGAACTGAACTAGAACTGAACTAGAACTGAACTAGAACTGAACTAGAACTGAACTAGAACTGAACTAGAACTGAACTAGAACTGAACTAGAACTGAACTAGAACTGAACTAGAACTGAACTAGAACTGAACTAGAACTGAACTAGAACTGAACTAAACTGAACTAGAACTGAACTAGAACTGAACTAGAACTGAACTAGAACTGAACAAGAACTGAACCACTTTTATAAGAGTATTTGAATGTTTAAGATTTATTTAAAAATTTGTGATTAAATTTAAAGAGAATTCATAAAGCACAATAGACCATTCGCATGCCAGGTAATTGCACTTACAGATTTCCAATTAAGACCTGATGTTGTAGTCAAATACATGGCCACAACAATTTCCTTATTCATTTGTTCGTTTATTAAAATCTTGAATATTTTATGGCCGAAGTACATGATGGTAGCACTGATTTCTGTTTCCACCTAACTGCCCAAATACATACAAATACATTAGATCTGCCCGTAAAAAATATATTTGAATTTAAAGTTTTAAAATAGGATTTTTAATTGCACAACGAGACCCAAGATCGGTAATCAGTTTAATATTGTAAAAGTGGATTTTTTAGAAAAATTATAATAACTAATTAGTTTTGTTTTGATATTATTCTGTTTCATGATGGAAATAAACTTTCTTTAGATATTGGTCGACATGGCTACATATATTCACTTTGTGGAGCTAGTTTAATGCACTTATTAACATGTTAGTAAGTGACGAAATTCTCTGTATTTTTTGCCATGAATGTTTTTTATGGTTCAATCAACTAAATGGTAAAAATATAAATAAATCAATAAAAATTCAATTTACAACAAAATTACATACCTACAAGTGTTCAGCATACTGTTTTGTTGCTACAAACAGCAACAAAACTAAATGCCATAAATTCCAATAACAATAGCAACAACTTGAATAACAACTATGAACTTTTGCTAGTAACACTAACCAGTTGGAAAATTCTTATAAATAATTTATATGACATATTAGCTGATTTTTGCTTTCTTCTTATAAAACAATTCAACTTAGTAAAAGCAACAACATTTTACATGTTTGTTTCTTTGTCCGTAAAGTCGATAATACATCTGTAGGAATAACAACGCTTTAAGATTACAAAACATACATATTAAATAATTATTATCGGGTTAAAATTCCACCTGGGGCAACTGCACCTATTTGTTTTAAATGGTCAAAACGAGTTAAAGTTAAAGTAAACAAACGTTAAATCCGTTTTTTGTATGCAAAAGGTATTAAAATGGCATCATGTGTTGCGGTATAAATATTTGCACAAAGATGAGAACACTTTCACTTCAATTTAAAAAATTTTAAAAATATAAAAGAGAAATTTGAAAGTATATGTTGATCAAATATTTTTTTTTTTTTTTTTTGTAACAAAACTGTACAAATAGAAATTAGACAAGAATTGAACTAGAACTTAACTAGATCTAGAACTTAACTAGATCTAGAACTGAACTAGAACTGAACTAGAACTAGAACTGAACTAGAAATGAACTAGAACTGAACTAGAACTGAACTAGAACTGAACTAGAACTGAACTAGAACTGAACTAGAACTGAACTAGAACTGAACTAGAACTGAACTAGAATGAACTAGAACTGAACTAGAACTGAACTAGAACTGAACTAGAACTGAACTAGAACTGAACTAGAACTGAACTAGAACTGAACTAGAACTGAACTAGAACTGAACTAGAACTGAACTAGAACTGAACTAGAACTGAACTAGAACTGAACTAGAACTGAACTAGAACTGAACTAGAACTGAACTAGAACTGAACTAGAACTGAACTAGAACTGAACTAGAACTGAACTAGAACTGAACTAGAACTGAACTAGAACGAACTAGAACTAGAACTGAACTAGAACTGAACTAGAACTGAACTAGAACTGAACTAGAACTGAACTAGAACTGAACTAGAACTGAACTTGAACTGAACTAGAACTGAACTAGAACTGAACTAGAACTTAACTAGAACTGAACTAGAACTTAACTAGAACTGAACTAGAACTGAACTAGAACTTAACTAGAACTGAACTAGAACTGAACTAAAACTGAACTAGAATGAACTAGAACTGAACTAGAACTGAACTAGAACTGAACTAGAACTGAACTAGAACTGAACTAGAACTGAACTAGAACTGAACTAGAACGAACTAGAACTGAACTAGAACTGAACTAGAACTGAACTAGAACTGAACTAGAACTGAACTAGAACTGAACTAGAACTGAACTAGAACTGAACTAGAACGAACTAGAACTGAACTAGAACTGAACTAGAACTGAACTAGAACTGAAGTAATTCAGAATGTAAATTTAATTTAATCTATAATATGATGATACACTGAATATATTTCAAAATTAAATGTGACATTTTTATTGTTTCGTAGACATTTATGCGAATAAATAAAAAATTTTGCAAATTTCAATTATTGTTCAATGTTAAATGAAAAACTTTATTAACAATTTATAACTTTGCATTTTTTTTGTATATTTTCAGTCTTTCACATTTCAACCAGAAATAAATAAAAGAAAATGGTTCTAAAATCTTCATAAAAATAAATGAAAAATAGCAATATTATTGGCCAAAAAAGAAGAGGCAGACAGAAAATAAATAAAATGAAATGAAATAAAACAAAATTTATAGATGAAACATGAACAGCATGTATAATGGAATAAACACTTTTATACAATCACCCGGTCATACAATCAAAGGTTAACAAAAGGGTCCTTTTGTAATCCTGTCAAGTCACCTTTTTGAACAAATACATACATATCCGCACACATACACTCATACACTAAGAAAAAATAAATAAAATTGTCATACCAAAATCAATTTGAAATAAAAATTTCAAATAAAGCAAAAAACTATTGGAGTGAAAGCAACAAAAAAAATATAAAGGACTTTAATAAACAAAAAAAGGAATTGCAACAACAACAAAAATAACATAAAAGAGGGATAATATCAGCCCTGTAGCATCCCCCTTGGCATATAATAACAATAAAAATAGGATCATAAAATAAAATTAAGAAACCCCACCAACTCAAACATGCTGTGCCCATTGATGAGGGCGTCTTGAATGCCCTCAAGGGTGTAACCAGCCAAAATACACGTCTGCCTAAGCCTTTAATAATTAAAGTTATGTCCCAGTTTAAACAAGGTAAGTTGGAAAACGAAAACTATACAACAAATACCTTTAAAAAGGTTAAAAAAAATTTATTTTATTAACTTATCTTATAGAATTTTGTCAAGAACGTCGCATGCTGCTGGAATTGGTTGGTCCAGAGTTACAATCGCTGTACGATGATCGCCAAATTGAAATTGAAATTGTTGACAGCATTTCGGCACAGGTAGTCTGGATATAACAGAAGTCGAAAGGATCCTTATATATTACAGGATTATTTGCATGAAATTGAAACATGTGCCCAATATTCAAAGAGTGTTTCTTTATGGTAAGTCAAAAAATTTAGAACTAGAACTGAACTTAAACTGAACTAGAACTGAATTAGAACTGAACTAGAACTGAACTAGAACTGAACTAGAACTGAACTAGAACTGAAACTAGAACTGAACTAGAACTGAACTAGAACTGAACTAGACTGAACTAGAACTGAACTAGAACTGAACTAGAACTGAACTAGAACTGAACGAACTGAACTAGAACTGAACTAGAACTGAACTAGAACTGAACTAGAACTGAACTAGAACTGAACTAGAACTGAACTAGAACTGAACTAGAACTGAACAGAATTGAACTAGAACTGAAACTAGAACTGAATGAACTAGAACTGAACTAGAACTGAACTAGAACTGAACTAGAACTGAACTAGAATTGAACTAGAACTGAACTAGAACTGAACTAGAACTGAACTAGAACTGAACTAGAACTGAACTAGAACTGAACTAGAACTGAACTAGAACTGAACTAGAATTGAACTAGAACTGAACTAGAACTGAACTAGAAGAACTAGAACTGAACTAGAACTGAACTAGAACTGAACTAGAACTGAACTAGAACTGAACTAGAACTGAACTAGAACTGAACTAGAACTGAACTAGAACTGAACTAGAACTGAACTAGAACTGAACTAGAACTGAACTAGAACTGAACTAGAACTGAACTAGAACTGAACTAGAAATGAACTAGAACTGAACTAGAACTGAACTAGAACTGAACTAGAACTGAACTAGAACTGAACTAGAACTGAACTAGAACTGAACTAGAACTGAACTAGAACTGAACTAGAACTGAACTAGAACTGAACTAGAACTGAACTAGAAACTGAACGAACTGAACTAGAACTGAACTAGAACTGAACTAGAACTGAACTAAACTGAACTAGAACTGAACTAGAACTGAATTAAACTGAAGTGAAGTAGAATTGAACTAAAACTGAACTGGATCTGAACTGGAACTGAACTGGAACTGAACTAGAACTGAACTAGAACTGAACTAGAACTGAACTAGAACTGAACTAGAACTGAACTAGAAATGAACTAGAACTAGAAATGAACTAGAACTGAACTAGAACTGAACTAGAACTGAACTAGAACTGAACTAGAACTGAACTAGAACTGAACTAGAACTGAACTAGAACTGAACTAGAACTGAACTAGAACTGAACTAGAACTGAACTAGAACTGAACTAGAACTGAACTGAAACTGAACTAGAACTGAACTAGAACTGAACTAGAACTGAACTAGAACTGAACTAGAACTGAACTAGAATGAACTAGAACTGAACTAGAACTGAACTAGAACTGAACTAGAAATGAACTAGAACTGAACTAGAAACTGAACTAGAACTGAACTAGAACTGAACTAGAACTGAACTAGAACTGAACTAGAACTGAACTAGAACTGAACTAGAACTGAACTAGAACTGAACTAGATCTGAACTGGAACTGAACTAGAACTGAACTGAACTGAACTAGAACTGAACTAGAACTGAACTAGAACTGAACTAGAACTGAACTAGAACTGAACTAGAACTGAACTAGAACTGAACTAGAACTGAACTAGAATTGAACTAGAACTGAACTAGAATTGAACTAGAACTGAACTAGAACTGAACTATGAACTGAACTAGAACTGAACTAGAACTGAAACTAGAATTGAACTAGAACTGAACTAGAACTGAACTAGAACTGAACCTAGAAACGAACTAGAACTGAACTAGAACGAACTAGAACTGAACTAGAACTGAACTAGAAATTGAACTAGAACTGAACTAGAACTGAACTAGAACTGAACTAGAGAACTGAACTAGAACTGAACTAAACTGAACTAGAACTGAACTGAACTGAACTAGAACTGAACTAGAAACTGAACTAGAACTGAACTAGAACTGACTAGAACTGACTAGAACTGAACTAGAACTGAACTAGAACTGAACTAGAACTTGAACTAGAACTGAACTAGAAACTGAACTAGAACTGAACTAGAACTGAACTAGAACTGAACTAGAACTGAACTAGAACTGAACTAGAACTGAACTAGAACTGACTAGAACTGAACTAGAACTGAACTGAACTGAACTAGAACTGAACTAGAACTGAACTAGAACTGAACTGGAACTGAACTAGAACTGAACTAGAACTGAACTAGAACTGAACTAAAACTGAACTAGAACTGAACTAGAACTGAATTAAAACTGAAGTGAAGTAGAATTGAACTAAAACTGAACTGGATCTGAACTGGAACTGAACTGGAACTGAACTAGAACTGAACTAGAACTGAACTAGAACTGAACTAGAACTGAACTAGAACTGAACTAGAACTGAACTAGAAATGAACTAGAACTGAACTAGAACTGAACTAGAACTGAACTAGAACTGAACTAGAACTGAACTAGAACTGAACTAGAACTGAACTAGAACTGAACTAGAACTGAACTAGAACTGAACTAGAACTGAACTAGAACTGAACTAGAACTGAACTAGAACTGAACTAGAACTGAACTAGAACTGAACTAGAACTGAACTAGAACTGAACTAGAACTGAACTAGAACTGAACTAGAACTGAACTAGAACTGAACTAGAACTGAACTAGAACTGAACTAGCACTGAACTAGAACTGGAACTAGAACTGAACTAGAACTGAACTAGAACTGAACTACGAACTGACTACTAGAACTGAACTAGAACTGAACTAGATCTGAACTGGAACTGAACTAGAACTGAACTGGAACTGAACTAGAACTGAACTAGAACTGAACTAGAAATGAACTAGAAAATGAACTCTATAAAATAACGTACATATTCTTTATGTTTAATTTATATTATTACACATGTGTATTGAATTAATTTTAACTTGAAGTCAGGCGGACTAATAGCTGCTCAAATTAATTTAAGTTAAAAAAGTATTATAAACATTACATATTAAATTTCCCTGATGACATGAAGGTAACTTAAATTTTCTTTAAAATCCATTAATGATTATCTGCTTTCTTCTCTTCTCGTTTCATATTTCATTTACTTGTTTCATTTTTAAACAAATTATCCTTAATTAGGCATTAATAGGCGACAGTATTGGCCGCATGCCATTACCCATACTATTGGATAAGAGATTTATGATGCCATTTCAACTGACACTACTTTAACACACACCGAACGACAATTTGTTCAACAAATGGTATGCATTGGACACGGAGAGTGGGCAGCAAGAGGTGATGAGTGCTGTCGAAGGCAATGGCAATATAAAATGTGATGATGACACATTGAAAAGGGTTCAATATAAACTCAAGCAGGACTATCGGTATGTATTGTGAAAGAGGGTGAGTGAGTGAGTGAGTGAGAGAGATTGAGATAAAAAACAAATAAGCTTAAATCTTTCAAGTTTTTTCTGGAGCACAAAGTACAACTACAAACAAGTAGGTTTGATTGTGTTTGTGTGCACAGAACAATTAGGATTGTCTATGAAAAAGTGTATGTGTGATTATGTATAAAAAGTGTAATAATTGTTAAGTGTGCTATTAGGCTGTATATTCTTTATATCTATCATTACATTTTTATGTTAGTAGCAATGTATTGTTTTAGAACTCTTTTGTGAACTAGAAGTGAACTAGAAGTGAACTAGAACTGAATTAGAACTGAACTAGAACTGAACTAGAACTGAACTAGAACTGAACTAGACTGAACTAGAACTTGAACTAGAACTGAACTAGAACTGAACTAGAACTGAACTAGACTGAACTAGAACGAACTAGAACTGAACTAGAACTGAAACTAGAACTGAACTAGAACTGAACTATGAACTAGAACTGAACTAGAACTGAAACTAGAACTGAACTAGAACTGAACTAGAACTGAACTAGAAACTGAACTAGAACTGAACTAGAACTGAACTAGAACTGAACTAGAACTGAACTAGACACTGAACTAGAACTGAACTAGAACTGAACTAGAACTGAACTAGAACTGAATAGAATGAACTAGAACTGAACTAGAACTGAACTAACTGAACTAGAACTGAACTAGAACTGAACTAGAACTGAACTAGAACTGAACTAGAACTGAACTAGAACTGAACAGAACTGAACTAGAACTGAACTAGAACTGAACTAGAACTGAACTAGAACTGAACTAGAACTGAACTAGAACTGAACTAGAACTGAACTAGAACTGAACTAGAACTGAACTAGAACTGAACTAGAACTGAACTAGAACTGAACTAGAACTGAACTAGAACTGAACTAGAACTGAACTAGAACTGAACTAGAACTGAACTAGAACTGAACTAGAACTGAACTAGAACTGAACTAGAACTGAACTAGAACTGAACTAGAACTGAACTAGAACTGAACTAGAACTGAACTAGAACTGAACTAGAACTGAACTAGAACTGAACTAGAACTGAACTAAAGCAGAACTATAAATATGTTTGATTGCTTACTGTAGAATTAGTAGTTAAATTAGTACATATGTTTTTATATCCACAATATTTTCAGCTTTAACTAAGAACAAAGAGGTATCATATAACCCAGTTAAATGCCTGTCATTTAAGAATAAATACAAATTTATTACCCACCCTAACCCCCTCTGTCATCAATGTACGAACTGGTTATATTCAATAACTTTAATCACTCTTACTGGGGCGTCACTTCTGCTCCCTGTTTCCTTTTATTAAACTCTTGTTGTAGTCCTTGTGATGTGGTGCTGGCCTGTTTAAGTTTTGGCTTTAATCCTGTTCATAATAATGCGCATAATTTGTTACCAATCTGTTTTAGTTACTTACTTAATGTTGACTAGTTCCTTAGTATTTTATTAGTTTTTGGGGTGGTGGTTAAAAGTGGGTGGTCTCATGTTTGCTAGTTGTTCGACTAAGAAGACATGGTGTCAAAGTGTCAATTAATATTTATAGCTAAAACAGAATAGCAATGTGTTTATTCATTTCTATGCCAACCATCCTTCCTTCGAAACATGTGCTTGCGATGCGGTTTAGTGTTTAAGTTTTCATTATTATTTATAATTTACAAAAATTAGTAAATTATATTTTTATCTAAACTCAAGGCTGTAGGTATAAAGGCAGTAATCCAGTTATAAATAGTTATTAATTGGAAATTTTTTATGACATCGCTCTGTTAAAAGTTTTAATTAAGCTTATATTAAATGCAATTAAAGATATCTGATATATGTATGTATATATGTACAATGTACATATATATGTATGTTATGAGAATTAATAAAAATTTATCATTATTTATGAAACTAAATTGAAGTAAAAACATATAACACCTTATGATTTTACAGATTCTATACAATACATGTATGAATATAATTTTTTCTCTCGATATTGTAGAAACATGCCTCAACAAGAATTCTACGAAATGCCAACTTTGGTGATATTATCCTTAATTTGTATAGAACAACATAATTTTATTTACGGACATACACAAATATAAATTATACATTACACAAGGTCAAGATATATTTAATGTTCATAAATATTAAATTGTTCATATTCATACATATATACCGGCATCGTATACATACATATTTACAACAATTAAATAAACATCTGAAAAGAAAACAAAAACACTTACTACACATTGTAAGTACATATTTTTAACAACATCGTATGTGGTTTTTGAGTGTAGTACCTAAATGTTAAAATTAAAAATATATATTGCAAGTAAAAATTTTATATTCGGTTATGTCGAACTTTTTATACCCACTATAAAAACATGTGTCGTAACTTATAAAGTTAATTATCGAAAGGTAGTCCTATTCCACGAACTTAAGTGGTTATGGAATTTATTATATTTATGATTGAAAGGTTAGTAATCACATGTCGACAATTGTCAGTTTCAGTTCATGTTCGATTCTAGTTCAGTTCTAGTTCAGTTCTTAGTTCAGTTCTAGTTCAATTCTAGTTCAGTTCTTAGATTCAGGTTACTAGTTCAGTTCTAGTTTCAGTTCTAGTTCAGTCTAGTTCAGTTCTAGTTCAGTTCTAGTTCAGTTCTAGTTCGTTCTATAGTAAGTTTCTAGTCGTTCAGTTCTAGTCAGTCTAGTTCAGTCAGTTCTAGTTCAGTTCTAGTTCAGTTCTAGTTAAGTTTCTAGTTCAGTTCTAGTTTCTAGTTCAGTTCTAGTCTAGTTCAGTTCTAGTTCAGTTCTAGTTCAGTCTAGTTTCAGTTCTAGTTTCAGTTTCGTTCAGTTCAGTTCTAGTTCAGTTCTAGTTCAGTTCTAGTTCAGTTCTAGTTCAGTTCTAGTTCAGTTCTAGTTCAGTTCTAGTTCAGTTCTAGTTCAGTTCTAGTTCAGTTCTAGTTCAGTTCTAGTTCAGTTCTAGTTCAGTTCTAGTTCAGTTCTAGTTCAGTTCTAGTTCAGTTCTAGTTCAGTTCTAGTTCAGTTCTAGTTCAGTTCAGTTCTAGTTCAGTTCAGTTCTAGTTCAGTTCAGTTCTAGTTCAGTTCTAGTTCAGTTCTAGTTCAGTTCTAGTTCAGTTCTAGTTCAGTTCTAGTTCAGTTCTAGTTCAGTTCTAGTTCAGTTCTAGTTCAGTTCTAGTTCAGTTCTAGTTCAGTTCTAGTTCAGTTCTAGTTCAGTTCTAGTTCAGTTCTAGTTCTAGTTCAGTTCTAGTTCTAGTTCAGTTCTAGTTCAGTTCTAGTTCAGTTCTAGTTCAGTTCTAGTTCAGTTCTAGTTCAGTTCTAGTTCAGTTCTAGTTCAGTTCTAGTTCAGTTCTAGTTCAGTTCTAATTCAGTTCTAGTTCAGTTCTAGTTCAGTTCTAGTTCAGTTCTAGTTCAGTTCTAGTTCAGTTCTAGTTCAGTTCTAGTTCAGTTCTAGTTCAGTTCTAGTTCAGTTCTAGTTCAGTTCTAGTTCAGTTCTAGTTCAGTTCTAGTTCAGTTCTAGTTCAGTTCTAGTTCAGTTCTAATTCAGTTCTAGTTCAGTTCTAGTTCAGTTCTAGTTCAGTTCTAGTTCAGTTCTAGTTCAGTTCTAGTTCAGTTCTAGTTCAGTTCTAGTTCAGTTCTAGTTCAGTTCTAGTTCAGTTCTAGTTCAGTTCTAGTTCAGTTCTAGTTCAGTTCTAGTTCAGTTCTAGTTCAGTTCTAGTTCAGTTCTAGTTCAGTTCTAGTTCAGTTCTAGTTCAGTTCTAGTTCAGTTCTAGTTCAGTTCTAGTTCAGTTCTAGTTCAGTTCTAGTTCAGTTCTAGTTCAGTTCTAGTTCAGTTCTAGTTCAGTTCTAGTCTAGTTCAGTTCTAGTTCAGTTCTAGTTCAGTTCTAGTTCAGTTCTAGTTCAGTTCTAGTTCAGTTCTAGTTCAGTTCTAGTTCAGTTCTAGTTCAGTTCTAGTTCAGTTATAGTTCAGTTCTAGTTCAGTTCTAGTTCAGTTCTAGTTTCAGTTCTAGTTCAGTTCTAGTTCAGTTCTAGTTCAGTTCTAGTTCAGTTCTAGTTCAGTTCTAGTTCAGTTCTAGTTCAGTTCTAGTTCAGTTCTAGTTCAGTTCTAGTCAGTTCTAGTTCAGTTCTAGTTCAGTTCTAGTTCAGTTCTAGTTCAGTTCTAGTTCAGTTCTAGTTCAGTTCTAGTTCAGTTCTAGTTCAGTTCTAGTTCAGTTCTAGTTCAGTTCTATTCTAGTTCAGTTCTAGTTCAGTTCTAGTTCAGTTCTAGTTCAGTTCTAGTTCCGTTCTAGTCAGTTCTAGTTCAGTTCTAGTTCAGTTCTAGTTCAGTTCTAGTTCAGTTCTAGTTCAGTTCTAGTTCAGTTCTAGTTCAGTTCTAGTTCAGTTCTAGTTCAGTTCTGCGTTCAGTTCTAGTTCAGTTCTAGTTCAGTTCTAGTTCAGTTCTAGTTTCAGTTCTAGTTCAGTTCTAGTTCAGTTCTAGTTCAGTTCTAGTCAGTTCTAGTTCAGTTCTAGTTCAGTTCTAGTTCAGTTCTAGTTCAGTTCTAGTTCAGTTCTAGTTCAGTTCTAGTTCAGTTCTAGTTCAGTTCTAGTTCAGTTCTAGTTCAGTTCTAGGTTCAGTTCTAGTTCAGTTCTAGTTCAGTTCTAGTTCAGTTCTAGTTCAGTTCTAGTCAGTTCTAGTTCAGTTCTAGTTCAGTTCTAGTTCAGTTCTAGTTCAGTTCTAGTTCAGTTCTAGTTCAGTTCTAGTTCAGTTCTAGTGATCAGTTCTAGTTCAGTTCTAGTTCAGTTCTAGTTCAGTTCTAGTTCAGTTCTAGTTCAGTTCTAGTTCAGTTCTAGTTCAGTTCTAGTTCAGTTCTAGTTCAGTTCTAGTTCAGTTCTAGTTCAGTTCTAGTTCAGTTCTAGTTCAGTTCTAGTTCAGTTCTAGTTCAGTTCTAGTTCAGT